GGACAATGCTGCACATATACCAGTTTTTCAATAGTTTCTTGTTGTAAACCAACATTCGGAAGCATTGTTATCGATGCGTAGCCATATTTGTGATCGATTGGTGATAAAATTATTGAAGTTGGATCAGGGGCAGCTGAGTTATTAACGTTCAAAATCTTTCTTAATGTGTTACATGTTCCATTTTCGGTTTTCACAAAGTGTACCCCCATATAGAAATCAAAGACGTAGTCCTACGTCAAAAGATCGAAAACAGTAGCGGTCCTAAGTTACTGCCTAGCGGAACTCCCGAGTTGTTTGAGAAAACATCCGATTCCAACGCGCCAATCTTAACTCGTTCAAAGCGATTCACCAAGTAAGATCTGAACCACTCCACAGCCGTTGACGAGACGCCAAGTATCTCCAGCTAGGCAAGCAAGATATATTGGTCCACCGTGTCAAATGCAGATTTTAGATCCATATACGCAGCATTGAATTGCCATGCTGAATCCATGCATCGCAAACAGTTAAAAGTAAACTGCACCAGGCTCGTGGACACGGAGCGCTTCGGGTAAAAGCCGTGTTGTTCTATATCGATATAATTTTTGCAACACGCGAACAGAGCATCGTTTATGATAATCTCGAACAGTTTTGAGCAGGCACACAGGGAGGTGATGCCACGATAATTTGGGACATTCCGTTTATCTCTTGTTTTGTTGACTGGAAACAGTTAAGAATGTTTCCAGCGGCAGGGGAACTCACATTGCTGTGCCGAGAGATTGAATAGCCTCGCAAGTGGAAGGCAGAGATTGGCTACACAACGTTTTAGAACTGATGACGGAATACCGTCAGGTCCGGCAGCAAACGAGAGCTTCAGTTTGCGTGTTCCCAACAGTAGCATCCAGCACTTGTGCCGGCCAAGCGGAGCTATTAGCCGAGTCATTCCCGAGAAACATGGAGCAAGGCAACCCGGATTCCTTCCGTTTGGAGTTGACAAACGACCAAAAACTTTTCGGATTCGTGCGAAGGTTCGCTTCCGTCCGTCTCACGTGTCGATTATAGAGAAAACGATTGTAATTTCGATAACTACGAACAGTCGTTTGTAATACGGCGAGTGAGAGTTACATTTCTTTAGGAGGGCGGCAGAGCGTTGACGTTTTAGCACGCGTAGGCGTGGGTTAGACAATGGAGGCTTTTGCGGGGGTCGTCATGCTGGGACAATGCGGAAAATAGCATCTTCCACTGCAGCACTGAAAAAATCCACAGCATCATTCACGCTAGCGGCTGTTTCGATAAATTGCCAATCAATTTCCGCAAGCGCATTGTTCAATGCAACATAATCAGCTCAGCGAAAGTCCCAAGAGTAGAACTCAGATGACGGCGTAAAAACAAGCGGCGAAGGTGAACTAAATGACGCGACGAGAGCGGGATGATCGGCATCTAGATCAATCAGTGGCTCGACCGGTAAGGAAACAGAAGTGCCCGGTAATGCGGAATCGTTTGCCAGGACAAGATCTAGCAAACGTCAATTTCGGTTCGGAAAAGTATTCGCTTGTGTGAACCCGTAAAAGTTAAAACCGTCAAAAAGAGCACAGCAAGCAACCGTCATATGCGAACGCAGTGGATCAATTAATGGTGTGCCACTTTCTGTAAAGCGCCACTGCAAACCAGCTTGATTGTAGTCGCCAAATACGAAAGCGGGAGAGCAGGGACTTAATTGAGAAGAAATCGAGCCTAACGATTCCACAAGCTCACGGATGATCGTGCAGTCGTTTTTGCGGTCGGGGGGCAGGTAGATTGCGCCTACACTAAGCTTGCTTTATGGAAGTTCTACGACAATCCACAGCTGTTGACTGGAAATGGGCGACGTACTTACGTAGCTGGCTAGTCTCGTTGATACCGTATATAATCATAGAAGTAACTCTAGGTCCCGAAGAAACGTTCTCAACTTTTTGGCTCAACTCTGGTACTATCTTCGGTCCCAAGCTAATCGATACACCCCTCGAAACATAGGAAAATCCACGAATCCCTCATTTTATCTGTCAAACTTTCATAGCGAATCAAAACAAACATATGGTAGTACTCGAATTTCAACTAGAATGTGGTACGCTTATAGATGTACTTGGGACCAATAGGCTAGTCAAGTAGTGAGCCAATTTGAACATACTCATTACAGCGAAATTTCGTCAATGTCGCTTTCAGAGTGTAACAACCCAAGCAACACGGCTTGTCATAAAGAAGTTGAAAATACTTTGTAATGACTAACGCAAAGAATCACTATTACTTTAATATACATCATTTAATACATTTATACAACCTAAAAAGCGCAAGATGCGGAGCTTATACAACTAAATACTGGTCTTATAACATGTATTTTGGAAACATCATAAAAACCAGCGACAAAAAAAAACAATAAAAAAATCTTGAGCATGGGATTCGATCACTGGTCCTTGGCGTGGTAGACTTGTTTCTACCTAACTAGACCAACACCGCTTGATGAAAGGTTTGTTATAAGTATCTATCATGTTCTTGCCCATGGCATGAAAATTATTTTCTCGTTCAACACGCCTTCGATCCGTCATGAAGACGTTTTGTTAGTAGCAAAGCGTACATCTAATTGCCAGAATGTTATTTAAACGTATTTTCAACTCCTTATAAGACAACCTGCACATTTTCAGTTGTATTAATTTATGAGATGTCATAAAAAAGTATTTTCAACTTTCTTTATAACAAACCTCCGAATACCTCATAAGAAACTGTCAATCACGGCATGAAGAGACAGTCCGGCTCAATGGCACCGTCAATGTTTACGTCAATCTGGATTGATTTTGTATACGACAAGTTTTATAGTGGTATTAAAACAGTAAGATGCACGTTCAAATAACATTTTAAGATAAAAGCAAAAGAAAACTATTTTGGAAAATGTTGAATCGAAGAAGTATGAAGAAAACATCTTTAAACCTCATATATAACGTAGGATGTTTTCTGCATCTCTTATAATACATTTATACAACAATCCATTCTAATTCTTTTTCAAAAGATGTTTTATGTGTTACTTGGGAATTAACGATAAGCTATAACGAATAATACTCACTCATGACGATTACTCATTACAGCCAAAATATTTTTTTTTGGTTTTAAGTGTCTTACACAAACTTTACCTCCACTTCTTGCGTCTTACATATAAAAAATATTATTATAATATCTCATAGTTTCATAATTTCTAAATAGTAGTATTTTAGCTGTAATGAGTATTTTCAGGGCTGGTTGATATCTGTTGATATAACTCCCTTGTGGACAGGATCCGCGTCTAGTGCTTTAGCGAAATTAACAATTTCGCCCAACGACGGCGGAAGACCATTTTGATGGTACGTTTCACTTCAACGTCGCTACTCATCATTTATGTGTGTTTCCAAAAGCAACCACACACGACCGAGTTGCTGGTAAAGACAATGCGTGAAAAACGAACAAATAGGTATGTACCTATCAAGTAAACAAACTGTCGATAGCACTATCGACATCGAGAGATACAACTGCTGCTGTGTCCGTCCACAGCTGAAAGTGAACTCAACGTGGAAAGATTATTCGAAAAGACAAAGGGAATGCTAAAATTTACTCTAACAAAAAAAAAAGACCGCTGTGGCTATGATCCCAACTAACCAGAAATGGCTAGCAATGGCTAGTAGAGCATTTAGCACTAAGCCAAAGTAATCGGTTCAAATTAGATTTATTTTCTAGCCTGTTTCGGAAAAAAAAAATGATTACTTTTTCTAATGCAAACGAAACTTCATTATTTCTCAGTAGTGATGTAGTAACAGAGATGAACCAGTCCACGGCTGAAAGTATCTTTAATAAAGAAATCGAATCTAATCTAATAGTGCTGTAGTTATACGACATGCACTAAACTAACGACACGGAATATACCACAATACAGTCCTTTTTAATAGATCCATTTGTCGTTAAAAAAAAACTCACTTTCTACCGCGAACTGAGCGATGGATTTTCAATATTGATGCACGCAATCAAAAGTTCAAAGATTGAAGTGAAGATTGTAAGTATCATTATTGCACAAATACCGCAATGGTCGAGGTATAAGGCTAATCAAGTAATTCGATTGCTTGATAGACAAAATGGGACCTGTTTAAAAATTAAATTACTGATCACAGAGGATTTCGTGAACAGAGGACAAAAACCCACATTTTATTTCAAGAGTGGATTTGCTTGATTTGAATTGGGATTGAACTAATGACCTTCTGCTTTGTAAGTCCGTCCAATGCTGTACACTTCATACACGAGGATAAAATTTAAAAACAATATGTCCACAAACAGGCATGGAAAATCATTTGCATTCATTTACATTCATTTGCCTCTAACTGCTGTTGAATTCCGCAAAATAATGTATTGAGCTTTTGTAGGTTTTGTCATTAGCTACAACTTTTCTTAACAAGTCAAATCCGTTTCTCTTATGCATGATGAACCAGAGCGAACAGAAGCCACTACTGTTTTTCAGTGAATGTATTTTACATGCACTGAAAAACAGTAACAAGTTCTGCCCACTCTAGTTCGTGATGCATAGGAGATACAGATTTGAGTTATGAGCAAAAGTTGTACCTAATAACAAAACCTACAAAAGCTCCATACATCATTTGGCGGAATGTTGTTGATGAAAAATTTAGAGGCAAATGAATGTAAATGAATGTATGAAATGAATGCAAATTATTTTCCATGCCTGTCCACAAATAAATCTTTAATGTGCTTTAACAACATTTATTACAGTTAATTTGGCTCGTATCTAAAACAATTGTCATGGTTATTAACTTTTACCCAATGCGATTACATATTTACCCTTTAAAGTACATAATCATAATGATAAAGTACAAAAATTAATTATTGGATTCACTTTTCATTCGAAGGATTTTTCCGTATCTAAATTATCAGTTATTAATACTAGCAGCTATTCTCTAATGTGTTTCATCCAAAATCAATGCATTATTAACTTTCTCCCCATAAAACTTTACTTCCAGTTCCTCGAAAACGGACGACGACGAAAATAACGGAGATTCCAGCCTCGAAAACCACAACGCACTCCGATCCCGAGAGGACCAGTTGCGACAGAGGCAACTGAGGAGAAAGGCTGCACTCTTCGAAACCGCAACCGCCGGAGCAGGCAGCTCGAATGAAGATGACATCGGTCAGCTGCTTCTGGATGCGGCCGCTTCGAACCGGGACAACCAAAATCTGTTCAAACTGCTAAATTCACCCCCACCCCGGAAGTTTGAGCGTGGCACGTAAATCAAACAAACGAGTGGGGAAGAAACATTGACGAGACAAAAAAAGGACACTGAAACGAGATGGCTGATATACATTTTACTCTTCGTTACTATGAAGTCGATTGGTTCGAGATTTGACAAAGCGGAAGTTTTCTGCATATTATCATTACCGTTAACACTAGCATGAATAGGATTAAGGGAAAGCAGTATTTATGTCCTGTACAAGCGCGAGTACTGCCTACTGCTGGGCTGGAAGTTGGGCAGAACTCGCGAACTCTCGGGGCAAAAAAAACTCCAACTACTCTCTACTGGATAATGGATGTGGTGTTGAATAAGCGGTTTAAGATAAAATAAAAAGATTTCAAAAACATAACACATTGGGGGCAAGTTACTATCATCACATGATTTTGAACCAATTATTCACAAGGAAGTCACACTACGCTGTAAATTATGGCTGTTTATAAAAATGAATAAATATATTGCAATTCAATGAGAGATCATGCGTATATGTAAATAAAGATTTAGTTCTTAGTATTCATGATGATTCCATTACTATAGAAATTCCTTTCCCCGAAAACGGTATGGTGTAAGTCACGTATAAAATATAATAGTTATGTTGAATTGACGGTGTTTTAAACGTTTTCTTTATTCTTGTGTATAGGTATATTAAAACCAAAATCTATACATATCAATAGGGACAGTGAAAATTTGTAGCAAAAAAGCACAATTTCGCGGTCAAGAAATGTGAAAAACATGAAATTTTGTGGCAGTATGTTAGCTTCTAAAAATCCTAATAAACGTAACATTTGCTTAATTAAAGCAACAAATGAAATCTTTTAAAACCAAGAAAACAGTACTTATCCTTATACTTAAAGATTTCTTAGATTTTTGAGCCAAAAACACTTGAATGCAGTTGTCTCAAAATGTTATTGTAGTTCAAGTGGCAGAAAATATCATTTCAAACTACTTGACAAAGTCATTATTGTGATGTATTTTATCGTTAATCTAAAAAAAATATCTCGATTTTAAAATCACAACGTGAACGGTTCGCACCAATCTTTGTACTACAGTATATTATAGTATACGAACTTCTTCCAAAATGAAACGCGTGCTGTTCTGATAATTTGACATCGAAGAATATTGATTTAATATCAAACTGTTGATAGAACAACTAAACCCAGACTCATTATACCTCATTATTATTCGTTTAAAAAACTATTACCATTCATGACGTAGAAAACACCGATCAGTTTTTTTATTTGATTTAATTAGCATCCGCAGGTTTAAATACCATCACTAATGACACAAACTAGTTCTAACATATAAAATCATTTAGCCGGCGCCGGTGGTGTAGTGATAAGCGTGACTGCTTTCTCACCCCAATGGGTCTGAGTTCTATCCCAGCCGAGGTCGGTGGGATTTTTCTGAGGCATAAAAATCTCTGGTCACGTCCGGTCTACTCAATTTTCTTTGTTTACTCAATTTTCGGTAGCCCTACTTTTGACGGATATGAGTAGATCCTACTCAAATTTGGGTTGTTTAGAAATAGCGTGTAAACTTGATTTCACGCTTACCACTACACCACCGGTGCCGGCATTTGGATTTTTCCAAATGTGAATTCCAAATATCAACCATTGCTATAATTATGTTATTGTTTTGTTATACCCTTCTGATCGGGTAGGGTCCCCCTGGCTATAGTGGATTGCCTCCTGGGAGCCCGGTGAATATTCTATTACTTACATACATCCTAGGAGATCAAAATGTTGCTTTCTCGACTGACCACTCTTCGACCTATAGCATTCGATGAATTGGAATTGCGAATTTGTCTGCAGGTTTTGTAACTATCGAGTGGGAAGAGTTAATTGATGCCACTAAGCAGGATTCAGATGTTCAACGGGTGATGAAGAGTCTTCAAAACAACAGTCTGCAGGAGCTGCTCATCGATTTTCGTATTTTTGCAAATGAGCTGGAGAAGTTTCAATGCGGATTGATCGTGTGGCAGTTCCGGATAAGTTGCGTAACCGTGTATTTCAGAAAGCGCATGAAGGTCATCTGAGTATTCGCATGATGAAAACATTTTTACGCGCAGTAGTTTGGTGGCTTAAAATGGACAGGTAGATAGAGGTGTATGTGAAGAGATGTCAACCCTGTACCACAAACGAAGTGAAAGACGGAGCGGCTCGAAAACTTTGGTGACGAACCTAGTACCGTGCGGGACCGAAATCCGTACACCTAAGCACGAGAGAATCATTTACGGTCAATACTAAATAATGCTATCACATTATGCTCTGTATCACATCTTTTTCCTTTACATTTATCTTTATTTTTCCAATATTTGCAAACACCAGGTCTTAAAATTACCTTCAATTATTAGAAAAAAGGATTTAAATTGCACATATCTTGAATCAAAATCCGTACAGCGTTTTACGATTGAATCAAAATCCGTACAGTTTTGAATCGAAATCCGTACACTGTGTTGAGGATGAATCAAAATCCGTACAGTCATGAATCAAAATCCGTACATGAATGTAAATCGATCCAAATCAATGAAAAAAAAAGTGTTGCTATCTTGAATAAAGTATTTTTTTTTGTAGTTGCTTGGCTAAGAGTCCAAAACAGCTATATTCGTTTAAATACACTATTTTACAGCATATTTGAACTTTGTACGCTGATGGTCATTTCCCATGTAAAATCGTACGCTGAATCCAAAAATATAGTCAAAAAAATCTCGGTAGGATAGTTTTGAAGATATAGGGGTAAGAGAGGCATAGTGAACAGGTGGGGCATAGTGAGCATCGCGTGTGCTCCAGCTTGGACTTTCGGCCGTTCAGAACAAATTTGTTGGCTGTAGGATCAATATCTTAATGATATTGATCCTACTACCAGTTGATTTGTTTCATGCAGTTGGAGATCCAGAGCCAAAGTACGGGATGCTCACTATGCCCCGCCTGTTCACTATGCCCCTCCTTCCCCTAGCTAAAAAATGAAATCTCACGTTAAAAAAAACTAAAACACAAATATCTCTGGCTGCAATGAAGTGATATTATTTATTTTAACGCCAAATTAAACGTGATAAATTTTTTTTCGATCGTTATAACACTATTTTTCCGTGAGAGTAATGGTAGAACCACCATAAACATTTTAATTAACATTGCTTAAAAACTTAGCAGAAATTCAATTTTTCTTAGGAAAACTTAAAAAACAAACTATTAACTAACAACAATACCATCAATCTCACTGACAATTGATGTTCAATTGATCGAACGAAAAAAATTCTTACCTCTAATTTAGCGTTAAAATAATTGATATAATCTCATTACAACCGGAGATATGTGTATTATAGTAATCAAACTTGTTTAAAGAGAATTTTCATTTTTAGCTGTATCTCAAAAACTATCCTACTGACATTTTTTTCGACTACATTGTTGAATTCAGTGCACGATTTTACATAAGAATCATTCTTCAAAGGTTCAAGTTCATTTTTTTTACTTTTAATTTTTTAACTAATGATATCAGCGTTAGATTAATTGATGCTCCAATCGATTCAAAGGAGAGGTAACTGAATTCTTTTTATTTAAGAAGGTAACTGTTCTGGAGTTTATGCTAACTAATATCATGTTTAAGGATTAATTTCTTCCAAATTTTATTCTTTACCAGTGCTTTGGGTTAAATATTTTTACTGGAGTTTTCCTCCGATCAAAACTTCGAGGTTTTTGAAATTTGACATGTGATAACGTACAAGATGCGCCATACTTTGGAACTCCATCAACCCACTGGCATCAAGCGATAAATTAACCGGTTCCTAAGATGGTAGCCCTATAATGGCGGATAAGTAAAAGAAAAATACAACCATCTTAGAAACCAACAAAAAAAGACAATGAACTGACATCAAGGATTAGTTTTTCGTTTTGTGCATGAAAATTAAAATTGGTAAAATAACGACTATAACTTAATTTAATTTGATACGTCAAGAGAGTAATAATCATAAAAATACAGATCTTTCATTGCTTCTTTTCCACAGCTTTCTTCTGCTTCTTCTCCATTGTTACCATTGCCTTTTCATGTTATAATGCTTTCTTGCTTCCAAGCCTAATAAAAATAACCATAATAGAGAGCTTAACGACGTGTTCGGGGTATCATCCAAACCATTTGTGGGAAAGTTTACCCATCCGGGATAAAGTTCGTTCATGGTATTCGTTTATTAGGGAACTTTCTTTGCTCTTCTTCCTTTTCTTCCTCCTCTTCCTCTCTCGCTCAACCTTTTTCTTTTGTCGTTCCTCAATCCTTTGTTTCTTTGCGTTCTCTTTATCAATTTTCGCCCGCACTACTTTCATGTGTATTTCCGGTCATTCCTCGCTGGTAGCTTGGAATGCTCTCTGGCCCATTTCTGTCTGCTCTCTGTAAGGGAGCATCCAAAAATGACGTAGCATATTTTTGATCAATTTTATACTTCTCCCCCTCCCTCGTAGCGTATTTGGCTATATCCAATACATGGCCGGTCACAAATTCTGAAACCCTCACCTCCCCCCTCAAATGCTACGTCATTTATGCATGGTCCCTAATTTGTATATGCGTGTTGGTGATATCCTGTAGGGGAGCTGCGTTGTTTTACTTTTCGGCTGGTTCTTGACGCTCTTCATTAAAAGATATTAATAATATAACATTTACAATACGAATAAAATAAGAGAGTAGCGATTCAATACGGCATCTCTTATGGTGGTGAATTGAACGGCAAAATCCCTGGATGCTTCTCGGTAAGATTTCTCCGCACGCATCATTGCCACAGTCTTCTCAAAATCCTCCGGCGTGTATTTAGTTTCCATATCTGCTGAAAAACATTGGATAAAGTAGAATCGTCATTAGTGATGCACAAGTGTACGGATTTAGAATCAGCTGTTATATATGGATCGAAATCCGTACAGTACTAATTTTGATAAATAAATACCATATGAACGATCCATTGCTTAGAATTGAGATATAAAACGATAAACACTTACCTTTCCGATCGACCTTCAGGAAACTACTTGCAAAAATCACTTAAATACGCTTAACAACTGGAAGTAAATCCGAGACATTTTCTTAGAAAATCGTTAAGAGCGCAACCGATTGACAGAAATGCCCGACACGTGATAAGGTTTTTATTTTTCTTATTTTAATTGCATGTTATACTGCTTAATTGTTGAAGTAAACATCAAGCTGATGCATGAATGAACATGAATATGTATTCATGTATAATATTTACATTGTTATGATGCATATAAATAAACAAATTCA